ATAAGCCTTGATGTTGTTGTTCTGTAACWTTATAATGGATGAAGGATATTCAGTTTACGAAGATGTCAGTTAAAGAATAAAAAAATATTCTCTGGGTTTGTTTGATTCCAAGTGTACCACACTTGAATACATATAATTTGAGTTAACAAAACATCCACTGCTTGGGTGAAAAGAAGGGAGAACATCTTTCCATTCAGGAGGCATGGAAGCTGAAGAATGTTTACTTGGGGATTGGTGCCTGTCTGCTCCACCTGATGCCATAAAACTAAATATTTTTCTGGTTTTTTTAATRTTTGGGGATTTTGAAGCTGCTCAGCAGACTTTTAGGTGGGTACTCAACTGCAGCTCTAAGCTAAAGTGTATCTAATGAATAGTTCTTTGATTGAAGGAAACAGTGAGTCAATTACTCCACTGGTTTCTGAATTACAGCTTTAAAGGAACCACACAGGAAAAATCCAGATAATCTAAACCTAGGTAATGTGGTTAACCATTGACTATACAATTCTGCTAATATTCATACAAAATGTCCTGGTTTTGTACAGATATTGCATATAGCATATTTATTCTGAGGCCTAGTTTTTCTAATTTTGTTTAAACAGGTGAATCCTAAGGTTTTTGAAAGTAAATAAGTAAAAAAAAGACTTGCTAATATTTTCAGGCTTCYTGAGCACTCTCTTTGTTTGAAGAGCCACGTCCTAAGGAAACATTGGCCAATATTAAGTCTCTGTAGAAATCTGAGGTAAAATTGGAATTTAAAAAATAATCTAATTAAATCTGAATTCTTAAAGCGCATTACTRAGGAGGTATTAAAAAATGTAAAAAAGAAAAATTAAAAAACCCACAAACAACAGCAATCCTGCCCTAAAGCTCCAGCATTAAATGCCACTAGTCCATAGGGAAATAACTCTATAGGGCAATTCATGAAAAAATTATGAACATAATTAATGTATGTGATCATATGCTCAAATACTGCATATAGTGTTTACTTTGAAAACTGATGGACTCCCTAATTCAGTATCACCATACTGTTAGCGCAGCTATAAAATATACAATGAATACAATTACCAACATTTGTGTATAAGATACAGACTAGCTTTTTGCAATTAAAAGGAATGATTTTATAATATGAGAATAATTTCAACCAATTTAAACCTCTGTTGGGTTTCTGAGATTTAGAGAACAAGGATTCGATCAAAAGATTGCAGACAATTTCCAAATTCCAGGGACTTCAGTAGGCAGCAAACTATAACCAGATCGTTAGAGAATTCAGGTGGAAATTAACAGGATTAAATAAATCATGAAATATAATGTAGTTAGAATTAAGAATTAAAAAATTCTTTCATGTTTATCTCTTTTTTTTTTGAGAGGATATATTTGTGTTCCAATAATAAGTCTGTTTGGAGGCAAAAGAGATTGGCATCTATTCTATCAGCAAGATAACATTCACACAACRTGCACTTACTGAAAGTAAACCCTTTTTATCCCCATCCTTTAGGGTCTCAGACAAAAGGATGGGAGAGAAAAAAATTCCACAAGAGACCACAGGAATCACTAAGTTCCAGCTTGCCAGATGACCTATGCCCAATGTGTATTGCCAGCTGCCCATCAATAAATTCTCTTTCAATCACATAAAKTAAGAGATGAAGACCTTTCTAATTTATCAGCAAGTATGACAAACATAACAGGTATTTTACATTCATAGGAGGGAAGGAGTAAGAATCCAGTAGTGTGACAAAATGAAGAAAAAATTTATGTCATAAGCCTTTCGAGCAAATGGCTAATAAAATTTTCATTTCCACCTAGTTTTGATAGCAGAAACCACAAGGCCCAGAAARTGTGCAAGAGAGCTGCTACAAATCAGACTTTTTATCAGTTGTCTTGTTAAAATCTATGTCAKGMTTAACCATTKGGTTTAGCCTTCATCCTTCTCTACRTTACATTTGGTCCTCTTTCTGTCTCTGCATRAAGTCTTAAATTGTCCTAGGYGAATCCCTGACCAAAGGGCATGSAAAGGCTATAACTAGACTTTCAAACTTTCAACTCACTGCTGCAGGAGTAGAAGGCAGATTCAGGGTGTCCCTGTTACAGAGTGACTGCCAGCTGTGACCAKTGCCTTTGGGAGCCATTGGCAGCCCTTCCCCAGCAGAGGATCCCTCCAGCTCCTGTGCTTTCCACCCACRGTGGCTTGGTGGCCACATAGCTCCAGAATCCAGGTCTCAAAAGCTTCCTTGATGTCAGTCTGCTCCAACTGTGTCTGTTGWGCTTTAGCCTCCAGATTTTTTAAGCTCTCAAACCTCATTCTCTGTGTATAGAGTATTAAATGCAGTCTTAATAGTGTATTTTAAAAATACACTTTTTTTAAAAAATAACAACTCATACTGCAGGTCTCAGATATTAATTTTACAGACCTGTGGCACTTGGCACTGATTTCACTAGCACAGGACTTTGTCAGGTGCTAAAAAAGGCATTGTACATGACTGCTTAGCAAAATATAGGATACAAGAGCTGTGGCTTAGGTTACTAAAAAAAGTTACAACTGTGAATAAAGTTTTTCCAAAAGGACTGTAATGCAATAGAAGCACATGGGCACCAAGTAGGCCATTTATCCATCACTTTTTTAATAGAAAGGTTAAATACCAGATGTCTTTAGTTTCAAAAAGCAAAACACATTTTTTAATTGCACACTCAAGGATCACAGACCACTAAACTCAGACCAACAGATTTGTCCTTCTGAAACTGTTACTTTCCTAAACTTTCTTTGTTGAGAGAACATGCAGATAATGCATTAGTTCAGCTTGATAAAGCACAATGACAATTAAAAAACAAAAGCAAGCCTGAAAAATGCAACATCTTTCTCACTATCATCCTTGAATGGCTGTTCCCTATGCTTTTTATTAGGAAGATTCAAAGATGCCAATAACCTTACAGCTGGTGACTGTAGTAGCAAAGCGTAACAAGACAGAAATAATGAATGCCTCCTTGTTAAGCAGTGTTGTTTGTGCTGTTCCAAGAGAGATCTGCCAAGAACTTTTCATGCAAACCTTATTTTTCCGGGATCTGTAACTTGGCGGCAAAAAATTCCASCATGATACCCAGTTCAAAAGAACTCAGATTACAAGTTTTAAAATACGTATTTGAGTTTTGGAATAAATTAAATGTACACTAAATMAGGTAAACACTTTAGCCCTTCATGTATTTTTTAGTTACTTTATTGAAAGAAAACTTGTGGTTATCAAGTTTATGCCCCAGATCATTCTATGTTTTCTAACTCTTGAGTATTAAATAAGTCTGAAGCATTGCAGTGTGAAAGGAGACTTTGTGCTGTATGGTCCAAATTCCACTGACGTGTATTTTCTTTTTAAGGAAGACTGTATGAAATGCATATGAAGCACTTGTTATTCTATCTGCCAAACAATTCACTGGAATAAATCTGTGCTAATTCTTAATACAACTCAGCTGACCTGAGTATAATGCCAGGTTGTGAAAAAGCTGGTTGTTTAACACATCATTCTCACAAAATACATGCCTAGAATTTCCGTGTGAAATTATATCATATTGGTTTTGTTTTGTTTTTAAACAAATGATTCAAAGCTTTAAGCCACACAAAAGTCCTATTTCAGTATACYTATTTCTTTTTTGGCTCTTGACCCATTACAACAAGATCATTTTGTACAGTTCCTGGCCAAAGCAATATTCTTTCCTGTGGCAACTAGCAAGATACATAGAAATCAGATTTCATGCACAGAACAGATTGCAGCCCAAGCTAAGGAAACTCTCTATCAGGTAATAGCTGGGTGTCAAGAAGCAGGAGGCCTACCATAGTTGCCCAAGTAGGAAAAAGTGTTGGCTTAGGCTTACACCTGTGAGGAATAAACCTCCCAGCAACTCAAAACTAAAAGGTATCATTAAAACATATGAATATAATATATTAAAAAAAGTTTATAATTTATTGCCATTGATATGGTGAGGTCATTTCAAAGGAAACACTGGAAGGAACAGGGCCAGAAAAGAAACATGAGACAGAGTATCTTAAAAAGTTTCTGCTAATTTTCCTAAYTTGGGTTTTCTCCCGTAGATCATATTATCCCCCAAAATATATCTACCTACCTTACAGTTCAAGCCAAATCAAAACTAAGTAACTCTATGAAACCCCAGTTCCTCTGAGGTGATTTGCAATTCATCTAACATGTTGGGTGCATAAAGACCATTACYGTTCTTGAAGAGTTTGTATGAACTGGAACTTGGAGCAAAAAGGCAATGTTGCCAAAAGGCTTCTGTCTTCCTGACACCGTCTGCTCTGCAAGGAGCCACAGAGGGAGGCAATGGTTACGAGAGGGTGTTGGCCCTGTCATCTTTTAATGATTAAAGAGCCAGCATGAGCACAGACACAGCATCTCCATTCAGACAGCTCTCAATCTTCTGCTGATACACGAGAAACCTGTTCTCTAGCAGTGAGGATATTTCTGTGGAACTGGGCTCTCTTAAATAACAAAATCATACCAATGTAGAAATAAAAGCCCTTTTTCGTTACCCTTTGCCTAGTCCTACAATATCTAAAACTTATATTATTCTGACTCTGAACTAAAGTGGTTCATCAGTTTGTTGAGCATTTCCAGCATGGTATCCTGGTCTTTGACTAGAACTCCTATGACATGCTACAGTATAAATAGCACATGGTTTGGGGGGGTTCTGTTGCTATTGAACTATTCCACCCCCATTTCATCTCTTTACCCAAAAAAGGCCAAAGAGTATTCCTAATTATATCAGTACAATACCACTTAAGACCTCAGTGGTAAAAAAGAATAAAGCATGGCTGTGTGCCCTCTACCTTGAACATGCTTTCTTACTGTCTGATACTGAGACTGTTTTTGTTTCCTCAGACCTTTTGGTGACCATCACTTATGGCTTTTCCCACTTCTGRAAGTGCAGACTACCAGCTGCAACAAACACTCTCAAGTACCCCATTTCAACAGTTATCCAATACATAGCAAAATASTCACTCATCTGAACAAGCTGGATCTGTATCACACACTGGCACATTGCAGTGAAATCTGTTGTTACCCTACATTCTCCAACCTGGCAATTGCTTCATTTCTGTTAAGAACAAATAAAAAAGCAGGAAAGAGTTTGACACAGACATTTGCCATATCAAAGGGAAACTGGTAGGTATACACCCCAGCAAATTTACCCTTGTATAAAATCTCCCGGTGTTACTTTTGTTGTTTCATGGAATGATCCCCTTTGATTCAACACAGTGCCTGCTAGCATCCTCTCCCCCAGGCTGATTGTCCACTCCTTTATTAAATTATCATCTATAACAACTGAACTGTGGCTGTYAAAACAAACCCTGGACTATGCTGACTGAGCTGAAGTGGGAGTCCCAGGGGTACTTTATCTGTCTCAGGCTGCTGCCAGGGCAGTGGCCACCACAACTGGGGCTCACACATGCCCTGAACAGCAAGTTCAGAGCCTCCTTCCTCCATCCATATTCAACTGCACTGGTGAATACAAAGGCACAGCTCTGTTTCCAACACCCATGAAGATGATGGACATTTCTACTCTTTTTGCCAACAAGTGGAACCATGACTGCTCCCTGCCCAGGTGATATGTCAGAGATAACACTCCATGCTTTAACAGAGCCATGTATATTACAGAGCAAGAGTACCACATGAGGACAAAATAACCAGAGAGATGTATAAGCTTTTGTACTTCATTTCTCTTTTGAAACTTTCTATGAGAAAGAAACCACCCTGGTTTTTTTTTATTCAAGTACAAATAAACTGCATGACACCTTTAATCCAGAAACCCAATTATAGATACATTTATATTTCATCATATCTGTGGCACTGGTGATTTTAAACAGGAATAACACATAGGATTAATCTAAGCTTTAAAAAAATCCTTGTTGGAGACAAGTTTTTATTGCTAACTATATATACACACACACATTTAGTTTAAGGCAAGTATTAAAATAATTGTTTTTCCCGTGTTTCTAATATGTATTAAAATTCGGGAATGTTTAAATCAAATTGGTCTGTACATGGCTTAATCCCATACATTTTTCTATCTAGAACATGTTTGCAAGTTAATCATAAGGCAAACATCCTGTAAAGATATTCAGAAAATATTATAAACAAATTATGCCAAAAGATAACTAAATGTAAGAGTTCTATACACTCAGGTAGTGATGACATCACTATGCATGCATAAATGGCTCCAATAAAAATCTTTGATATACACTTTCCACAGCTAAGTTTTAAACAGTTACCAGCTATGTACACCTTCTCCCTAAAAACATTCCTYAATAACATGAAATTTCTCAGTAATTTAAGGCAAATGGAAACTACCTAAAAATATCAGTGAAAATTTGGATTATGACGTTGCAAAAAGATATTAAAAAAACACCTTCATTGCGTAGTCTCCTATGCTATTCCCTTGTTTTCCCTTCTTCATTCATCTTTAGTACCACCCCTTGAAAAAAAATAATTTCACTGCAATGAAACGATACCAGAAATTTACTGTTCAAACACAGCATTCCTGCACTTTATTGCTKATGTCATTCAGGCACACATGAGCTTCAGTGAAAACTGGAAGCAGCGCCAAAACATGGGAAACTGAAGTCTATTCATGCTCTTCTAATAAATGATGTATATGCTCAAAACAAAYGAGCTTTTATGAAGGTTCAGATTTTTCTCCACATGTAGAAGCAGCACAAAAAAAGCCAGTCACAGCAYGAAAAAGTGCACAATTTTGTATTCACTCTCATTCAGACTTAGTGAAAAAGTCTTACTATCTGATTTAAACTTGTTTAACCTGAACGCRCAATTTGAAAACTAGAGACAATTCCATTTTCCTCGGAACTAGGATGCAAATAAAGCATTATCTAACAATTACCATAATGGTAGTAACATGGTGTTTTATTCTCGTACAGAGTATTTTTCTGAATGCAAGTTTCCCACCATACATCTACTTTACAGTGCTGCCAAGCCATTTAAAGGTTGTATTCATTAAAAATCACCCTTAGAATTTTGATTAGAAAACATGTCAGGCACTAGGTGGTCATAAAAGATATAGTACAGATATTTCACTTAATGAAAAAAGATAGAATCTATTCCATATGTTTTAAAGTTTATAGTAAAAAATGCAAGTTATAGCAGGGTACCTCTTTTCTTCACAGATAACCTGGCAACAGTGGTATGTCAAGAAGGAGAAAGCCCTGGAATTAGGGAGTACTGCACAGCATATGTGGGAAGACAGCTCATCTAAAACCCTTTTGGCACAAGAACAAYTCCAGAAGATGGGAAGAACACCAAAGTAGATAGTATGGAAATCAGATTTAAAAAATTTGAAACAAATTTTAAAATGTCAGAAAAGAAGACACCAGAGTAATAAGAGGAAAAGACAAACCAACCAGTCCTGAGTGTTAAGGGACATGAGAGGTTTTGCTACAGAACTGTTGCCTGGTTGGTGACATAGGGTAATTGGTGGGGAGAAGATATAGGTTATTTTTTCACCCTTTGCAGAGCTACTTTAGGTCAAACCCAGGTCAAGGAAATAAAACCAGTAGTGTCCAAGTATTAAGAGAAGTGACTGTTAGGTACCRCACTTCATTCTCATTTGGCAGTTTTTTGGGTGTGCAGATTTCAGTAGCARTAATGAGCTAAAGTAGCTATTATTCCACCTGTTTCTTCTTTTAGTTTTAACTGTATGAGAAATCACAAATTATTCAAGTAAAATATCATACAAACCTTTATTTTCCCTTTGGCTCATGACTACTAGAATAKATAAAGTTTGTAAACTGTTTTCTTCCCTCAGCACTTTCTGATAACAAATTAATAGAAGAATTTGAAAGACAGCAATTATGTAACTGTTCCTGTTCTTTTGTATCATCCTGAAACAGGAAGAACACATTCCCTTCCAAAATCATGCTCTGAGAAAACTCCTAGCTTGCAAAAACTACATATATGCATGCTAGTAATAATGCCAAAGAACTTCAGTAGCTCAGACAGTCACTCACTTGATTATCATAGAATACCCTGGGTTGGATGGGACCTTAAAGTTCACCTAATTCTAAACAAAGWGTCTTTAAGAGCTGCCAGCTCTGGTCAGCTTCTTTGTCCCTAAGGACAGTTTCTCAGGGGATCTCATTCACCAACTCTTTAAACAACTGGAAGTTTGTTCTTTCAAAGTTCAGGATCCTGACTTAGCAGCTTGCCAGGCTCACAATCCTCCCAAACTCCACCAGGGAGTGGTCACTACAGCCCATGCTGCCACTAATCTTAACCTCTTTAATGAGCTCATCTGCATTGGTGAGCACCAGCTTCCATAATCCTTCTCTTCTGGTTGGTYCATCTAATGTCTGGGCCAGGAAAATGTCTCTACACRCTCCAGGAGTCTCCTGGATTGCTTATAGACAGCTGAATTGCTATTTAAAAATACAATTTCTTAACTGTTACAGTTTTACTATTACCTATAAAGAAATATATTTAATAAAATGCCATCATTTGAGAGACTGGAATATCAATAATTATATTTCCTAAGTCATCCTTAGGCTGTAATAACCTCACACAATGATTTAYAGATTACCTGTTCAACCTCACATACGTAGTACAAAACTTGCTGAAGTCAACAAGCACATTCCTTAGGGATCCCATTGGGATATGACTGGTTCTTGGTTTGTACATYGACAGTCTGACAGCACCACATCAAGTTGTGCATGCAGCCTCATTGCCACAGGCCACAGGGTGCACCCCTCCCCTAAGCCAAAACCATTTCTACCAACACTGATATCCTCKAAGCTCAGGAAAACAGATGGGATCATCTTAATTAGGCAAATTTGATAACTGCAATTATAGATAATATGCCCACGGTGTTATTTCAGGTCTGTTTCCAACCTTAAAACTGAAGCATTACTCAGCAGAATAGTTGCTGTGAACTGCTGTGTTTGTGGATTTGACTACAAATAGCTAATCTGAAGTGGGAATGTTTTCAATACCCTCCATAGGTAGCCTGACAAGATGGGTATTTACTGGCACTGAGTCTGGCTACAGACAGTGCCACTGCAAAAACAAAATGGTATTGCTAATTTAAAACATTTTAATTTGCCTTTACTATCAAGTGTTGTGAAGGAAGAAACTATGCATGAGAGGTTATTCCAGATTGAACAGTCTGTAATCTAGTGATARCCTAAATTTAGTCTATAGGCTTCTACTCTACACATAGCCTCTTCAGAAGCTAAGTGAATCTTAAAACAAGTAGAAAAAAATGTATGAAATTGTTATTCAGGACTTGTTCCACTATCTCCCAAGGTTAGAACTACTAGCAACAACTGCCATTCACACCATTATTCACAGCTCAATGGTCATATTTGTTCCTGTTGCCTGACGCTGACTATAGGCATGGTACACCCACTGTGAAAATGGCCAGACACATGACAGTGAACCATCAGGCTTATGATGTAATTATAGGATAAAACTAGTCAAATGGGATTCTAATTTGGGGTAGAGGGAGGGGAGAGGAAGGTAAAAAAATAAAAATCTGTGAGATKGAATTCCACTTGGAATTAATGCTRAAGTATAAAATACTCTTCAGCAGAAGGATTGTGTACAGAAAAGATTATCACTATTTAAAATATTTTAAGATGTATAAACATAAGCAGAGCAGAAGGGGATATCTCCTCATTCAGTTTTCCTGTTTATTTACTGTGAGCAATTAGAGCAAATTTTAATAATTTTCCATGTTGGCTGCTGCTATCTTTGACAATGCAATAAGTAAGATGACATCTTGGCATGTTGGCAAAAGTAGAAGAACTGGCACAAGAACTCCAGCAACCAGTGGTGATGTCTTCTTTTCYACTTACTTATATTAGATATTATATTCATGCGTTCACTTTTAAGAGCACTAAGTAAATGAAAAACCATTTTGATTGCAAGCAATCAAAGACCCCAAGACAGTTTTTTTAGGGTTTTTTTTCAGTGACTCTGAACAGGTTTCAGTGGCACAAATGCTGCACCCACAAAACTCCATCATAGCTAAATAATGGCCTTATAGTTATTCTAAATATGTTTTCCTATAGGCTGATCTAATTTTGAGGTTTTTTCACCATCATACAAGAAAGAATTGGGATCAGTTCTTTTTTTTCTTCTTACCTCTAATCATTTGAGGTTTTAAAGCTTATGAATTTCAGGTGTTCTTTGTTAAATATGGAGGAAGAATTAAAATAATTTTCCATCGGCAGTATAAAAAATAGTTAAAATAATAATGTGGAGTATTGAATATAACTTATTTCCAAAGTATGCATAAAAAAAAATCAGGAAAATGTGGAAATATTAATTGTTGAAAACCAAGCATACAGTCTTTCTTAATAGAGAATATTTTCCCAAGTGCACCTGCATGTTAATTTGGTGTTATTATTTCTATTTTTGCTTCAGAGCATCTGGGAATTTCAGTCATTAGCCTACTAAAGCAAGGATTTCTCAACTTTTCTCCTCCCYTCAGTTCTACTGAGTACTGCACACAGCAGCTCCTACTTTTGTAGCTAGGTATGCACCATGTATGAGTGGTGTGCATGACAGCTGGGAATCGCATCCCAAAGAATGTATGGGGAATACTCAGCAACCATWTCCTCAGATGTTGACCTCCACAACCCTTTCATTTACTCATTACTAATAAATATAGATAAATGKCAGTAAAACTGTAAAGTACCCTTGTCTCATAATCATGTTTGTCTCACTGTGCACGTGAAGTGCTAGAAGCACATACAGGCACACAGCAATGGAAAAATCTCTGTCCAGATCAATTCACAGTCCAYTCGAAACACAAAGAAATACCCGTCTGGCCAGAATATTATTTGAAATCTTATAATACCATGCTAAGACGTTGACTAATTATTCTTTAGGAGAAGGGCTTAGACATTACCCCAAACCATATATATTTTACATACATACATACRTAAAATAACAATAGATCCACAATAACCTGCAATAACTTTGCTGCCGAAACGGGGGTGTTTGCAGCCGCTGGCGCTGCGGGTCACCCGATGACACCGTGCCCGTGCCGAGGCAGGCAGCGCCTCCCGCCAGCCCCCCTCACCAGCACGGCCGCACCCTCAGACCCGCACTTCGAAGCCAGCGCATCCAGTTCTGTTTGAGTCATTAATCATGCAGTTACTGGTTCCTACCGTGACTAACACTTCCCTCCACGCAGCCCACTTTTAAAGTAATTCTGTACGTTGCCAAAAACAGCACAGGTACTTGTGAGCAAGACAGAAGATGGTCTCTAGGGCAAATCGCTACTCCTGCTGCTATTACAGTGATTATGTGACCAGGCCCTGAACCATTTTGAGGCTTTGTCATTTTTCTACCACAGTACTCTCAGAATTACATATAGACGCGATTTAAAATAGGAGGGACAAATGCACAGGAGCGGGATGTTCAGCCCGCCTCATCGGCAGCGCTCCGTACTCCGGCCACTGCGGCCCCGGCCCGCCGGGCGGCTCCTCAGCCCCTCTTACAGACGAGACACGCGGGGCTGATCCCGACCTTCCCCGACAACACCGCACAGGGCCCGTGCGGCCACGCTGTGGAGAGCGGCGACGCCGGAGCGGGTGGACCCGAGGCCGAGGGACACCGCCCTTTCCCAGCCTTTCCCAGCACCGCCGGCGCCCCCTGACCGCGGGAAACACTCCCCCCTCCCGCTGCCGCCGGGGAAGGCTGGGCTGGGCCGGGCCGGGCCTGCCCGCGCTCCCGAGGCCGCCCCACCCGAGGCCGGACCCACCTCGAGCGACCCCGACTGACGCGGCGCCCAGAGCCCCCGTGGGGAGGGGGYGGCCCGGGCCCGCCCCGGCGCTGCCCCTCGGGCTCCCGCCCCGCCCGGGCGGGGAGGCGCTGGCGGCACATGCGCAGCCGCCTTCGCCCGTCCAGTGCGGCAGCCGCGGGTGGAGAACCGCAGCGGCATCGGCGAGCTGCGCGGGGAGCGGGGCGCCGGCCGGGGGGCGCCGGGGCTGCCGGGCAGCGGCAGAGAGCCGGCTCTGCTCCCGGCCTGCACGGGCCGCCGCTGGGGCGGTGCGGGGCCGTGCGGCGTTTTGGAGCCGGACCCCGGCGTTTTGACATCCCGGCGCTGGGAAGGGCCGCGTCCCGGCCTGCGGCGGCTGCGGGGGCCCTGCCGGCGGCTCCCGCCCCGGGCCGGGGGACTGGCGGCCGCCTGGGGCGCCCAGCCCTGGCCGCAGGGTCTCCCCAGGGAACGCGGGGCCGGGGCCGCCGGGGGCAATTTTTCGGAGGCGGAGGGACGGCGGCGTGAGTGAATTGAGACAAAGAGCGAGGAGGAGGAGGAGGAGGAGGAAGAAGAGGACACTCGGGCTCGGCTACATTCCTGTGCAGAGAAAGGCGGGAGGCGGTGTTAGCCCTTTACGGACAGCTGGGTCCGGCGCTGCGCTCAGCTGCTGTCGGCGTATTTACAGGCGGCTCTCCCGGCCGCGGGAGGAGGAGGAGGACGGGGAACAACCATGTAAGTTCCGAATTGCCGGGGGTCCTGTAAGAAGATGGGGGATGCCGCAGACGCCAAGGAAATGAGGAAGACTTTCATTGTTCCTGCCATCAAACCCTTTGACCATTATGATTTCTCCCGAGCGAAAATCGCCTGTAATCTGGCCTGGCTGGTGGCCAAAGCCTTTGGGACAGGTAGGTGGCGTCTCCTTCTTCCCTTTCTTTGATGCTGGTTCCTGCTTGGTTGCTTCGCTACTGAGGACGTGCGAGCCATTCCCTGAGGAGCTGGGAAGCGGGGGGAGATGTGTGGGAAATGCTTTTGGTCTGTCCCCTTATCCTTAAGATCCCAAACCCCCTGTGGGGTTTTTTGGTTTCCTTTTGTTTTTCCTTAATTACACTTAGTCTTTTTGGAGTAGTCCTACTATTTTCATCAGCAAGTAAATTTTGTGTATTGGATCTAATATAATTTTGAGTGAATCGATCTCTGTAAATGGTGTTTTATTTATTACTTGGGTTACACTTCYACAATTCAAAAAGAACTCAGCAATCCACRTTTGTCTGTCATCTTGATATTTCCCCTGCTATGCTTAGGAGCTGAATTGGGGCTAGCAGTGGAAATGGTGYGTGCTCTWAGTTTTGTCAGTAGCCTGTAGCCATTTGTGTGGTTAAGCAATAATAAAGGTTTCAGGGAAAAGAGCATTTAATGCTAGGTTTTGGTCTGCACAGTACAGAAGGCTCTCCTTGTCTCTAAGTGTAAATGGAATCGATTTGTAATGCCTCCAAAAGGCATCGGTGCTCTGTCGTTGAAAACCTGGACCTTGAGGAATACCAGACCTATTATTCTGTGCCTGAAATACTATTGGGCCTTGAGGAATACCAGACTTGCAGAAGTCTTCTAAGAGAAGCATTTTGAAAATTTACCAAACAGTTGTTGTTGTTTTTTTTTGTTTAAGTTTTGTTTGTTTGATTTGGGCTTTTTTTGGTTTTTTTTTTTTTTTTTTTTTTTTTTTTTTTTTTTTTTTTTTTAGCTGTAGTATAGTAATAATTTAATTTTCTGTGGATTAAAAACAGTGAGTTTTTTTGAAAAGTGAGGTGGATGTCAATAATCATTACTTTTACACCTGTTTTTATTGTAAAATAACAGGAAAAGGTTCCTCCTTAAGGTATTTTGCACCTTGTACATTTAGGGTCAGGGTGCTGTTACATATTTAGCCAGGGCTAAAGGTATGTCTTATGATGCTTCTGGAAACTCATGMTATTTGATGTGATGCTTCCAAAAAGCCACTTTTAAAGTGCTTAAATCTAGTGAAATTTGAGTGAGTACATCACTTCTAAAAGAAAGAAAATAGCAAAGTACTGTTTTCGTATAAAGATTTGTCAGTAAACTCTACTTTGTGAAATCTGGACATAGTAATATTTTGATATATGGATTTATTAGCTTTGCAGATATGAGAGGTAAAATAGTAGAGAAAATTCTCAGAAGTACTTAATTCAGCATTTTCAGAGATCATTGTATTTTTAGGTAGCTTGGTTCCATAGGGTCTACTCATGGGATTCTGAGTGTACAATGCTTGTGCAATTGTATAACCCACCCTCCTAACCTGAAAACTTTTTTGTACTGGAGTTTGACATATTCTCAACCCATGGCTGAAATGTCTTCGTTTTTATGGGTTGAGTTTCTACCAGATGTGTAAGCCCCTTGCAGGGTACTTTTATTCCACTTTATGTAGGAAGTGTGATTCAAACTGAATTCCTTTACTRTTTCTCTTCATAACTGGGGTTGTTCTGAGATGCTCAAATGAAACATGATTAGAGGGGGTAATTGCTCCATCTGCTTTCTAAACAGAGCAGTAATGTAACAGTAGGAAGAGAGGTAAGCACACAYATTGGTAGTRTTTCTGGTCTCAATTCTTCCACTAGGCTAACATAACTAGAAACTYCAAAGAAGAGTTTGTGGCTAAAGTAGGGAAAAACAGTGTACASGGCTTGCATGTCTGCAGTACGTATTCTTCCTTTATGCTGGAGTGAAACAGAAGAACTGACCTTCACCTTTTTCAAGAAGGAAGGAAGTTTGGGTTTGCAAAATTATTTTAGTTCTTGGGAGTAGATCACAACCTCAGTCATGTCTTCTAACTATTGCTATATACATTTGTATGGAGGATATACAAAGGATGACTWGTGTGTTGATGGATGCCACATTTTATTTCTTTTTTTATCCTTGAAGTCCTTCAAGTGTGCAGGGGAAGTGAAGGGTTTTTCCCTACCATCTAGGAAACAAAGTAATGCAGTTCACTTTATGAATGAAAAGCATAGGTTGTTACAATCATGTATCTATTAAAGAAATCTAAATATTTATGTATCAAAGGGGTACCTCGTTCAGAGGATGGCTTTCAAATTCTTAAAAGAGTATTTCAATACAATCAAAGTTGTGGATACAGCTTGATTACATATTGTGAAGAGAATTTGCTTTTGCAATAAACCTTTGAAACGGGTACTGTTCATTAACATTAGTAATGACTTTTGATGTTTTATTGATACRTATGTCCAGAACTGAGAAACAAATTGTCTATTGCTATTGTCCTTGTTGAAAGTGTGAGTATAGAATTTGGCTCACAAACACAGGGAGGTCAAAAGAAGTTGTCTTAGTGAGGTGTCTCATGAGAGGAAGGATGTATTAACAGTCATGTTGAAGGCATTTTGAATGAAGCTTAAGAAATACTAATTGAAGAAAGAATTAATATTTAAGTGTTGAGGATGTTTAGGATTTCATGCCTTGGTGTTTTGCTGCAAGACAATATATCAGTGTTAGGACATGTCAGATTAAATGTTTTGTAATAAACCAAATCGTTTCAGTGACACAACTTGCAGTAACTGAAAGGAAGAAAAATAACAAGTGTGAAGTATAAAAGGGGGGATGTTTGACCTTAGAAATTAAATCTGTAAATACTTAATTYAAGCCTTATCTCCCAATTCAGGCAGTTAACCATTTCAGTGCAGAAAAATTTCTTCCCAAAGAACTGGATAAACTGTATAGACTCTATAACATTCAACTTTAAAGTATAATGGGACTTACTTCATAGGAATAAGTTGAAAAAATGTCTTTATGTTGTGGTACTCTGTGCCCTTTTTATTTCTAAAGCAACAGAAGTARACTTCATCATTTTGGAATGTAAAGYTTTTGCCTTCTCAGTCTGCTATAGTCATAGAAAATGTGCCTGAAAAATTTGTTATTCATTCGCCATCCTAAAGACAGGCTGGGCTAAATATACATCATTCCTGACAGATGTTTGTTTAGCCTGTTTTTTGAAAATCTCTAATTATAGAGATTCCACAAACTGCTAGTCAGTTTGGACCTCATTTGTCTCTAAATAGTTGAACAGATACTTRATATCTTTTGCTACATTGTTAAGCCACTACTTACCCTTTTCCTGATGTGTGTGAGAATGGTAGGCACCTTACCTATAACACCTTTCAAATAATAAAGCCATGTTTGTTACATTGTTTCCACAAAACAGATTTCTTTGCTTTCTCTGTTTATTAGGGGTTGGTTTGGGTTGGGGATTTTTTTGTTTGTTTTTTCATATAATTTTTTCCTGTGGTTTTACATGAGCTCATTACTTAAATCTAAATCTAATGGTCCAGCTAAATCATTACCAGTACAAGGTAAATTTGAAAAATTACTTCATATTTCCAACCTATAATACTCTGATTTATTCACTAAAATATGATGTTTGCCATTTCTGCATCAGCCTAGAATTGTTGACTCATGCAGTCTGTGATTCACTGTAGCCCCGTATCTTTCTCTGCAGAGCTGCTGCCTACTCAGTTGTTCCCATCTTGTAATTGTACTGTTGTAGGTTCCTGCTTTGCAGCTATACTTACATAATTGCATCCTATTTTCAAACCACTTCTTCCACTTATCAAAATTATCTTGAATTATAATTTTGTCCTCCAAAGTGCTTTCAATCCTTTTGGARCATGGAATCACTTCTCGACAACCTTGTCTAGTGGGAAGAAAGATGTTAAATCTTGAACCTGGAAGTACATGTTCTTCCCATTTGGTAGGGGATGTCTGAGTACACCTGGGAAACAGTTTATCAGACAGCTTTTCATCTAATTTTTAGTTACTAAGTTAAGAATACTGCTGTGTATGAGTCTCAGAAAATTATGGGAACACTTTTAAAGTCAAGTTAAATTTGTTGCTGCTTTACTATCCATAAAACATATAATTCTGCTACAATAATACATTTTACTGGTTTGCAAGAATTTTTTTTAAATGGGAATAAACTAAACACTAAATAAAAGCTGCACAAATCTGAGTGATTGTCTTAAAAATTGTGTTTTCTGAAGTCAA